AATATTACAAAAATGTAATATAAAAAAAATCCCCCACTTCGGGGCGTCTCATTCCTTCCTTCAAGCTCGTATCCTCTACCAGAAGCCTTGGAGCTTAAGGGTCCTGCACAGTATCTTAGCTGTTCCTAGGACTGCACTCTTCTGGACAGAGATCTCAGATGTTGTTCCTGGAGTCTGCAGACTGAAGTTGACTTTGGTATGGAAGCTCTGGGTTTGATTCCCAGTCAGGGCACAGTCAATATCAAGCATGGGTCCTTAGGTAAGGCCTTTAATGCTACCTGCCTACCTCATTTTTTTAGTGAGAGTTGGAAACACAAGAGTCACACCAACTCGGACGTCCCATAAACAAGGTCCGGATTGGGTGCTGAGGAACCAGGGCAACTTGATTTGAAGTGAGCTACTGGAACAAGAGCAAGGCATTCATGGACAAGAGATGAGAACAGGTAACTATTGGAATGCTACTATACAAGTAACCCCAGTAAGAGGGGTTACATGCAGTGGATGTGGAACCTATGAATACTTCGAAACCCAGCATCTAGCCTAACACCTCAGTGTTCTAACATCCACAAGAAGCACCTGCTATTACAACTACGAGGTACAACACGATTGTTATGGCAAGGTCAGGGTGGAGATATCATCACCAGCCCCACAATTGGAGTTTGGGCACCAAGACCCAATAATAGCATGTCCAGAGCTTTATGCAATAGCTGAGATTGAAGATCATGACCAAGATAGGCACCTGGAATCTCCGTGGCCGGTTACCAAGACTAAACGAGGAATGCAGCACTATGATAGCTGAAATATGCCATAGCAACCGTGATCTTTGAGATGCTTGGCCATAAGTTCAACAAAGGCCATATGGAGTAGTATCCCCCATGAAGAAGGAGGTTGGAGGCCAAGATCAAGGCAACACAGAGCGAAGTTAGCCAGCTATCGGAATTGAAGAAAGGGGTACATAAGAAGTACAGCACAGAGGCACAGTTCTAATAACAGCCCAGTACCCTGCCTCTGCACAACATGGAAGCTCCTGTCATCATAGCAGCTAAGATGAGTAGGCACATGGCTCAATACATAAGCAGGGCTGAGAAAGGAATTGGTAATAGCAAAGCACCAGCTACTGGTTCATAAAGCAGCTGAACAAAGTTCGGGTGATTAACACCTACGCCCTGCTGGTAGAGAACCGAGCTTGAAGGAAGAAATAAGACTGCCCCAAAGTGGGGCAAGTGGGGATTTTTTTTTTTTTTTTTGTGAATACCATGTCCAGAATAGGCTTTCAGCGGTATTTGATTATTATTTGAAAGAAGGCTTTAGGTATCACAAGGTTCAGCTAAAAGATCAGGACTGCAAACACATTACAAAAATTTCAGTTGCAATTAAAGCCATTAGAGAGTTGGTGTTAACAGATCTGGATATGAAAACTGTTTGTGTACAACACTGTACATTTGGTAACTGTTCAAAATTAATTGCATTTTTAAATACTTTTGAACGGACCTTCACATTGTTTAGCTCTTCTCTGTTTCCAGTAGCAGTGGGCTCTGGAGTGACTGAAAACATAGCTAATCATATCCAATCAGCTCCTCTCATCCACGTTCAAAGCAGCAAACAGTTTAAGCTGCTTTCTGGAGGAAAGTCTGTTGATCCAGGAGGAAAACATAACGTGGCCTACATGTTCACGACATCTCTAGTATTTTACCAAGGGCGGACTTTGTCATAGTCAGCCATTCTATAAATGATCTGCGTGGAACACAATAAAGATGTAGATGAAAAGGAAGTGCCCGCTGTGCCAGCCGTGCATAATATTACACGGTGTGTTAAAAAAAAATAAAACATAAAAACTGGTAGGTTGCAACACACATTCTTTATGCTACACATATTTATAAAAGAATGGCTTTGTATGCCACAAAGTTGTTTTGCAAATTTGGAGAGATCCCAAAAATGTCTTGCTCTGAACAGATGGAGTCCAGAAGTGTAGGCTATCGTTCATGCCACAGACATGATTCATTCGATGTACAGTATCTGCCTCCTTACACACGCGCACGTGCATCCGGAAATGTCAAGGGAATCGAATGGTGACGTGAACAGAGGCGACAGACCATTTTCACTTGGACTACACACGAGTTGAGTCTGTGCAAAACCTGTCTGCTGGAAACTCTTGGATAACTCTTTTTTGACAAAAGCAATTGTTTGACACCTGAATCAAAACAAACCCCAGGACAAAACGATTATAAAGTGGCATCCTGCTAGAAATATGGACCATCGTGGACCCCCCCAGGGAGGACCACCTGCTGGCCAGAGTCAGGTGGTGGATATGTACCATATCAGTGGCACTGTGGGTATAGCAGCTGTCTCCCAACTGGAAGGTTGAAGGTTCAAATCTTGGTGCCTGCAATCCACATGTCAAAGTGTCCTTGGGCAAGACACTGAGCCCTCCAAGCTGCCCATGATGGCGGTGCATATGCACGCAGCAGCCCAGGACCTTCAGCTCCAAACAAAATTTCGTTGTACGTGTCACAATGTTACAGTGACAATAAAATAAAGCTTCTTCTTACACGTCTTTTATAAAAGGTGTGTATAAAACCCTAACCCTGTTTACACACACACACGTAGTTTATGAAATTAGGTTAGGCATTTAGTCAAAGATTCTGAAAAACACTTTTAATGGGAACATATATACACTTGACGTTTTCTTAGTGTAAAATATTATTTGGCAGGACGGGCATGGAGCGTGTTAACACTGGTGTAGTGATTAAAAAATACAGTTTGGTTTCAGAGCAACACATTTACCAAATTGTGGATGACAAATTTGGTAAATGACACATCGGCCTGCTGTGTGTGGATAGTTCAGTTTGTTTCAAATTTACCTGGAGCTGTTGTTGGTCCTTATAATTTTAAAGTATATAACATTTGTGAGCTGCAAGAAAACGCAGCAGGAGATCAGGCTTGGTCTCATCCCAAATGAAGATAAAGTGAACTACAAGTGTCTGGCTGTTTGTTATTGGACCTGCACACAGGGCTGCTGCCTCAGTCATCACTCTTATAGCCTAATCATAATGTGTTGAAATGTTTTGGCTCTGAGAGAGAGGAGAGCTTTTTATCACAGTGACTGCACACCTCATGCAACGCTACCATCTCATTTAGACCCTGTGATTCAGCCGACAACTCAAGTAATGCACGACTAGTTTAGTGCAAACAAACACACTGGGGTGTTTGTGTGGTTATTTTGTGGAAGCTGTTGTTACTTGCACAAGAGGCCCCCACAGGTTCAGCATGCGTAATGATGCATGAATGGCAGTTCCAGACCTTACTAGCACTACATGCTTTAGTTGAATATTTATAATTATGCCGCCTTAGACGTCTTACTCCACAACATTTATAGTTACAGCTGCAATCACGTTTATAGAATCCTATCTTAAATGCCAAAATACATCAAATGTGATGCATTGCTACACATTAATCTACCCAAGGTTTACAGGCTAGTTCATATCAGCTCCATTTCGACCAGCTACAGAATTAAAAAGCTATTTAGAAGTGAATGCACAAGTACACGAAAAATCTAATGATAAAGCCGACAGTGTGTCAGAATCCATTCTGCTGCATATTAGGTAGTTTTACATTTGACAGAAACCCAACACCCTGTATACAGTACTGTGAAAAGACTAACACTGGTGTCATCATGCCACTGCTTTCTATAGTCCTCAAAACCTGCCTTTAACTATTTTTCATTATTGGAAGTTTGCATTCTGTTGTATGTATAAAACTGACCGGACAGAAATAAAGCTATTAATTAAATCTCACTTGAAGCTTAATAAATATATCTTAAAACCCTCAAAGCTAACATTACCATAATTTCCACACAAATTCATCAGATTACATTTTTCACAAGAATTTTTTGACCACAGTCCAGTCGCAATGTGTTTATGCAGTATCACACACACTATAATCAGATGCTTCTCCTGACAGAGTATTCAAGTATTACCTTTAAGTTCTGAATGGACACAACTAATGCGCGCGCGCACACACACACACACACACACACACACACACACACACACGTAACCTTCCACCGTGTGTGTTTCAGTGGACTCATTCGACTTCAGTAACTAACAGTACTGTAAAGCTAAACTGGAGGTGGTCACATATTGTGTTCTAGCCTGCTCCCTGCTGGAGATTCCTCTCATAGTTTTCCAGACAGATGTGGACACGCTGAGTGAAGTAGTGAGTATCAGAGATGGCCCGGAGGAGGTCGGTCTGGACCAGTGTGATGTCATACAGTTCAGAGATGCAGGCTGTACGGGTTTCAGTGCCACCTGGATACAAGAAAACCTGAGACAAACACACACATTGAACCCACGTATGACACTCACAGGACTATTCATACAGGCTGAAACCTTCTAAGCAACAAGTCGCCTTAGAATCGTCACACAAAGAGCCAACAGTAACATTGTGAGTCTTAAGGGTTAACTGCAGTGTTGTAAAATAAGGACAATCAGTTCTACACAAAATATTCACTACTGAGCACCCACTCTTTTCCACTGAAGACATTTCAATGTGTGGTAATAATAAAACAGGTGTAAATAACATTAATAATAAAAAGATTTAGGAAAAATCTGGAGCTCTTTTAAATAACCGAGAAGCCGGGAAGAGCAGGTCAAATAAGAGCAAAATGATTGTTAGACATCGATCCACTCAGCAGCAAAAGGTTTCTGTGGGCAGCGTTACACATACCAGCTGTAATTTGTTTTCGGAAAATAATCGCCAACATTCACATGTGTATTTGGATTCTGAAATAAACTTGTGCCATTTCCTGCCGGTGACTGAGCGGTTGGCCTAAAAGAAGCTTTTAAAAACTGTAGCACTTCTCACAGAGTAAAACTGCCCTGATATAGGCCGTTTCTTCTAATTAGGTTTGCACTGCAAAGAGATGAGAAAATGTATGCTCGGCTGTTCGTATGACAAAGAACTAAGTTTTGTCAAGTGGAAAAATAACATCAAACTGCAAAGGATGCTGGATACAAAAATGTGGCTCCATTTGCTGCTCACTCTGGTGTTCGGTAAGAATTGTAAAGCACTGCTTTCTCAACATGTGGACAAACTTCACAGCCCGTTATACGTACGCAGATGCTGAAACATACGTGATACAACCTGATTTGTGGCTTTGAGATGCTGACTGACAGTGATGTATTACTGTGCATGCGGTTTCTCTAAAAACAGCTGTAGACCACAAATGTAGGTGAGAGAAACTCAGTATGTACAGTATTGTTCAAAATAATCACGTCTTTTATAAAAGGTGTGTATAAAACCCTAACCCTGTTTACACACACACACGTAGTTTATGAAATTAGGTTAGGCATTTAGTCAAAGATTCTGAAAAACACTTTTAATGGGAACATATATACACTTGACGTTTTCTTAGTGTAAAATATTATTTGGCAGGACGGGCATGGAGCGTGTTAACACTGGTGTAGTGATTAAAAAAATACAGTTTGGTTTCAGAGCAACACATTTACCAAATTGTGGATGACAAATTTGGTAAATGACACATCGGCCTGCTGTGTGTGGATAGTTCAGTTTGTTTCAAATTTACCTGGAGCTGTTGTTGGTCCTTATAATTTTAAAGTATATAACATTTGTGAGCTGCAAGAAAACGCAGCAGGAGATCAGGCTTGGTCTCATCCCAAATGAAGATAAAGTGAACTACAAGTGTCTGGCTGTTTGTTATTGGACCTGCACACAGGGCTGCTGCCTCAGTCATCACTCTTATAGCCTAATCATAATGTGTTGAAATGTTTTGGCTCTGAGAGAGAGGAGAGCTTTTTATCACAGTGACTGCACACCTCATGCAACGCTACCATCTCATTTAGACCCTGTGATTCAGCCGACAACTCAAGTAATGCACGACTAGTTTAGTGCAAACAAACACACTGGGGTGTTTGTGTGGTTATTTTGTGGAAGCTGTTGTTACTTGCACAAGAGGCCCCCACAGGTTCAGCATGCGTAATGATGCATGAATGGCAGTTCCAGACCTTACTAGCACTACATGCTTTAGTTGAATATTTATAATTATGCCGCCTTAGACGTCTTACTCCACAACATTTATAGTTACAGCTGCAATCACGTTTATAGAATCCTATCTTAAATGCCAAAATACATCAAATGTGATGCATTGCTACACATTAATCTACCCAAGGTTTACAGGCTAGTTCATATCAGCTCCATTTCGACCAGCTACAGAATTAAAAAGCTATTTAGAAGTGAATGCACAAGTACACGAAAAATCTAATGATAAAGCCGACAGTGTGTCAGAATCCATTCTGCTGCATATTAGGTAGTTTTACATTTGACAGAAACCCAACACCCTGTATACAGTACTGTGAAAAGACTAACACTGGTGTCATCATGCCACTGCTTTCTATAGTCCTCAAAACCTGCCTTTAACTATTTTTCATTATTGGAAGTTTGCATTCTGTTGTATGTATAAAACTGACCGGACAGAAATAAAGCTATTAATTAAATCTCACTTGAAGCTTAATAAATATATCTTAAAACCCTCAAAGCTAACATTACCATAATTTCCACACAAATTCATCAGATTACATTTTTCACAAGAATTTTTTGACCACAGTCCAGTCGCAATGTGTTTATGCAGTATCACACACACTATAATCAGATGCTTCTCCTGACAGAGTATTCAAGTATTACCTTTAAGTTCTGAATGGAAACAACTAATGCGCGCGCGCGCACACACACACACACACACGCGCGCACACACACACACACACACACACACACACACACACACTCGCACACTCACAGAATTAGTGGAACTTGTTCAGAAAAGACATACTTGAGAATAAAATTACATTCCAGTTGTAAGTGTTGAATCTTTTACTTTGTCTCTAATCGAATTAACTACATCCACATTGTACAGTTGTCCTATTTCACAGTGATATCAGGGAGTATGTGTTGCATTCTAACAATTTTTAGGGGCCTCACTGGCACAGAATGTAACTTGCAGATTTCACAATTGCCATCACACTGCTCATTTACATAATCTGGTAGCATAACTGTTAAGATGTATTGTGTTACATAACTGCAGTGGCATTCAGCTGACACCCATAATCTTATGACCACACATTAACTAACCCAGCTGCAGGAAACTGTTAAAAACAAAAGAGCCTCTAATGTGGTTGCTTACACCTTATACGGTTGAGTGCAAAAGTTTGCCTCCCATTACTTTGAAATGGCAAAAAGATTTTTTTCCCTTCAACATTTAATGCATGTTCAGCTAGTGCACATTCCTTTGTCATCAGTAGTAACAAAAATGGTCAGGGAGTGTATAAAAAGTTATGGTAAAATAATGAAAATCGTATCAGTGCACACATTTGTATTCCCCTTTATGAAATCTCTAATACTGTGTATGTCCTCTCTCACCTCCTCCAACTTCTTTGGGTTCCCTTTGAGCAGCACTTGGATCCTTTCAGGTGTAATTTTAGCCCATTGTTCACAGTATACTTGTTCCAGATCTACCAGGTTGCTTCTTTAGCACCTGACCCACGTAACTTATCTTTTGTAGGGTAAGATATATTAACTTGAAAACAGCATTTTCTTCAGAAAATGCATATGGATGCTGAGTGCTGAAAATTCGCCCTGAAAATGCTGAACATTTTTACACCTGAATGCTTTTGCTAGCTGTAAGTATGCAAATATGCATTCCCCAAACCCCTTATATACACATTTGTGTAAAGTCCTGTATTCAAAATCAACACCACAATTCTGGTAGTCAGGTGTCTGGTGAGATGATGCTTCTGGCTTTACAGGATTCCACTGGGTGTCGACCAGTCAGGCCCAGCAACGCTGTGTCTGCAGACAGGCAACCTCCACTCCAAATAAATCCAGGTCCTCCTTACTTTTGTTTGTTTTTATTTAAGATTACAACAGCAAAATACATAGACTTTTTCAAATAGCATGAATGAATACAGATATTTGATGTCAGATCAAACCTTTACAGTATTGTTCAAAATAATAGCAGTACAATGTGACTAACCAGAATAATCCAGGTTTTTAGTATATTTTTTATTGCTACATGGCAAACAAGTTACCAGTAGGTGCAGTAGATTCTCAGAAAGCAAACAAGACTCAGCATTCATGATATGCACGCTCTTAAGGCTGTGCAATTGGGCAATTAGTTGAAAGGGGTGTGTTCAAAAAAATAGCAGTGTCTGCCGTTGACTGTACAGACACAAAACTATGTTGTACAAACGTTTTTGTTTCTAGGATTTAGCAATCCTGTGAATCACTAAACTAATATTTAGTTGTATGACCACAGTTTTTTATAACTGCTTCACATCTGTGTGGCATGGAGTCAACCAACTTGTGGCACCTTTCAGCTGTTATTCCACACACACCCCTTTCAACTAATTGCCCAATTGCACAGCCTTAAGAGCGTGCATATCATGAATGCTGGGTCTTGTTTGCTTTCTGAGAATCTACTGCACCTACTGGTAACTTGTTTGCCATGTAGCAATAAAAAATATACTAAAAACCTGGATTATTCTGGTTAGTCACATTGTACTGCTATTATTTTGAACAATACTGTACACCAACCCAGACCCTGTATCCGTATGAAGATTTCTTAGAGCCAGTGGTCAAAGCCAATGACCTAATTCTCATGTAACAAAGGGCTGAGATCTTGCTTCAGCATTATAGAAAATGCTGCCATAGGTCAGATCCTGGCTCCAATTAAAAAGCTAAATGATTTCCACAGTGGGAAGAAGGTTGTGACAATGAAAATATCACTTATCTTTCTTAATTACAAGCCACATTGAGCTCTTATAGTCCTTCTGTTATGTATACTCCAGTTGCTATATTCATGTCCCTTTAAAAGAAGTGGCAGCACCTTGGGATTAACGACGGTGTCCTTGTCGTTCTGTCGTATGTTGTCATCTATGAAGATGTGCTGAACGTGATGGTCAAAGGGGTCGACCCACAGCGGCTTCCCCCCGCGGATGGAGTAGGCATTAGTAACCCACCTGGATGAGAAAGAAGCACAGAGAAAGGTTTGGAAAAGGAAGGAAGAAGGGAGAGAGGTCACAGAACCCACATTACTGATGGCCTAAGGAGCATTGTGGGTACCAGTCATAGTGGTCCTGGAAGCCTCCCACGCCCTGAACCGAGCTGAAGAACTGGTACAGGCCTCTCTCTCCATCTTGAGTCGAGACACAGTCCTCGGCTCGGCTCACAACGACTCCCCTCTTGCTGCAGCGGATTCTGCCTGGAGTTGTATTCATACTTAACTGAGTCGAGAGCAAAAAGACAAAGAAAGGTGCGAACGGCTCTGAACTCCATGGTAAGCATTTATTATTATTAACAAAAAGCCCCAAGGAGACTTGAAATACATTAATGGTGATATCAGCATTAAACTTCCACAGAAACAAAACGTCTGTGTCAGCTAGACAGGAAAACAACACTGCCATGACTTTATGATAAATAGTGTGGCTACTTCACATGTAATAAACCCAAAGCTATCAAACTGCCTGGAAGTGATGATTCTTGACTAGAATGTATTACGACAGTTTCTAATTAAGATAAATTAAAAGCCTTCTGGCACAGTTTTAAGTTCAGATGTCTTCTTCAACAGAATGAGTATTAAAAAGTTGTTCAATTAAATTAAATTAAATTAAATATCTTTTAAAATAGCAGCCATGTGGCTCTGAGGACGGCTGGGTCACGCTGTCAGTCCAAGGCTGGATCATCAACTGGGAAAAGCGAGCAAATTTTCCAGAGCTCCAAAAGCTCCAGCTTGACTTACTGTCATCTAATCTATGTTGATATAACTGAAATCTAAAGCACTAAAGCACATTACTAACTGATATGATGAGGGCCCTAAGGTAGGTCCTGCTTTAATATGGAGTCTTTTTAACAAAGACCTTCATTATTTCAATTTGGTTCTTACACATTGTACATTAATGGGTTTAGGACACATGACAGATATAAAGCCAGTTGGTTCCAGCAAAGGAAAACTGCACTGACTGCAGAGTGTGCGAGGAACACGGATCTTCCCAGGTGCCCCTTGACAGCCTGAGTCTATCATCACTGGTCCAGAATGTGTCAACACCTATTAGATGTATTTTGGTCCAGACTTTTATGTCCCACTCAGAAGAAATTGTTAGTAATCCTCTTGCTAACTACCAGCAGGTCCAAATTCTAACTTGTCCAGGACCAAATCCCTGCTAATCTAATGACATTCCCATCAGCCTCAGCTGTACTTTGCATTTATTGCGAATTAGCAAATGTAAGGTGGTGAACATTTTAAACACATCTGCTAAATATCAGCATGTTACCATTTTTGCTGTGAACTTGTTAGTTCACAGACAGTATTTAGCTGAAAGCCTCACAGAGCCGCTGGTGTTAATGGAAGGTTGGGGTGTTGTTTTTTTCCCTCAATGCATACATGATGTTCTGGGCGTCTCCCTAGTTAGTAAAAGTTTCCCTGATGACACAAACACGTTTGAGTCCCAAATGGACAAATGATAGAGCGGGCCATACTTAAGCAATGTGCTGAGAGTCAGCTAAGGAATAGTTAAGGAAGGCTAACCTACCATTAGCCTTTTAAACAATATTACCAACATGGCAAGAGGCTCCACATCCACTGACTCACACAGAGTCTGTGCTCTCGTTCAGTCACACACTGGGGATTTAAAACATCATCTTGTGCTTTTGCATAAAATTATCTAAAATGTAAAATATCTTGCTACAGTAATTATCGGCAGGAAAAGAACTTTTACTGTGACACACAGGCACTGACCCCGGTGCATACAGATGATAGGATACGAGCATGGTGACAGTGATAAGCTGTGTTTCCCTGAATGCAACCATCTCAACAATGAGAAGGAAGCTGGTGTCCTCTTGTTGCACCCAGGAACTTGCTGAGGCAACAAAACTAATCAGGTTCAGGAAGTGGACAATCACATTATGCCTTGCAAGTGATTTTCCTCCTGCTCTCTGTCTAAACGCACAGACAAATAGCATCTGACAGGAGACTATTTGAATAAGATCTCCAGCGTGCTCTCCTCCAGACAGCTCACTGTGCCTGATGTGTTCACTTTCCTGACATCGACCGCCCCACCCCCTTCCCCATCTTCCATCCAATCCAGTTTCGGCTGTTCCACTCCAGCGAGCTAACAAGTACAAAAAAAAAAACCAACCCCTCTAGGAGGAGAGTCAAGGAGAAAGGGTCATGTTGTTCAGTCACCCACCCCGAGGGAACATCAACACACACACACACTATTTTATTGAAGTTCCCTAAAACACATGAAATAAAGTGAACTTAACTAAACAAAGACATTGTTTACTGCTGTAAATGCCACATGAAATCCCCTTCATCTCCATCACACAGGGGTGGTGGCAAATATTCTCAGTGGTGAAGTTCTCTAAAACTCCCCCAGCATGCTTAGTACCACTATTGGTGAAATATCCATTCATAATTTGGGCAAGATGAGCCTCATGGCTTCATAATGAATAAGTGATTTTAGTTCACCTTCAGGTCAGGCAGATCAGGGAACAGTGGATGAGCCCCCTCACTCACTGCTCTGTGTAAGGCTCTCAGCACACGAGGTAGGTCGATTCCAAAGGTACGAAAGAGGATGGCAAACTCCCATCTTTCTGCTGCCAGGTCTTTAAGCAGCTGGAAGAAGGAGGGAAGGATCCAGTGGTACAGCCGTCCATCCTCTCCTTTTACAGACAGCTCCCTGTCTCCCTGCACAGAGCCGAGTCAGGAACAGTCAGTAACACTACAGTGCATCAGACTGCCAAAATGGCTGGCAGGAATTGTAACTTAACATATTGTAGCTCACTCTACTTATGAAGAGCAACATTTTATCATTAAACCACTGCGTGCACACACAATGCACAATAAATGTATGAGAGCCAAAAATACTTGGACGTTTTGTAAGTTCAAGCTAAAACACTCTGTGACAGACATATATATGTATAAAGCTAAATGATTTCCACATGATGATCAGTTGTCTAGGTTTATACAGACTTTCCACCTGACCTTCTTATCCATTCTCTCCTATAGGATGCTTGCCTTGAGGCCCTTGGGCCAGCGGAGTAGATCCAGATGTTCTTCCAGAGCCCCATGGAAACGTCGTCCTGCAGTGGAGGTGAAACCAGGTATCGCTCCAAACTGAGAGTAGTAACTAACAGCATCCTTGCATGGTGGGAGCAGAGAGGGCGAGTCACTCAGCCATTCCCACTTTCCTGCACAGAGATGATGAGAAGGACAACTTTAAGAATGATTTTAAATGCAGACAAACTAAAGGGTGAAGGGTTTATTTCCAACAACCAGATTAAATCTCCCGAGAATGGTATTCTAGATCACATTCTGCCAAATGCTATTTGATAAAACGTTCATTTAATGTTTTATTTGCACAATAGTATATGACTTTAGACCTTGGAACTACGTACTTTGACCTGTTATTCGGCATATGTACTATTCTAATGATGTGTTCAACTTCAACATCGTGCCAACTTTTTTTGGATTGGTTCACAGCGTGTGAGCCAGACATAGCTCTAAGTTCAGAAGTAAAAGAGGAAGAGGAACTTTGCAGAATATTACATGGAATTCGTCGTGTCCCTTTAATACCACGGGGACAATAACTTAGCCGTCATCAGCTGACTGGGCGTACACATTCCCGGTGTTTTGTCAGATTTTGCTACCTATCAAGACGTGCTACCCACCGTTCACAAAGTGGTTAGGGTTAGGGGGATGGATCGGGGTGGGGTTAGTCAGTCCATAACTGCGCATGCGCAGACAGTTTGGGTATGGAATAATGACGGGTATGAAGATTCGACAGAACACCGGCAGTCTTGTGCCATGGACCTACTAGGGGGAAAAAATCAAGCCATCTTACCGTGTTTGCTCATTCTTCCCCAGGTGACAGTGGTGAGGAAATGGTCCAGAGCAGCTACAGTCCCCTGATCCCTCGCGGCATCCGACACCAGTATGGTGTTGTTGAGGTCGACATGGAGGATTAACTTTCTCTTCTGGGCATGATTTGAAGACCAAAGCCCCCGAGAGACTGTCACATTAGAGTCACCTGTCCCACATACAGGATCGGAGTCATTTGTGCTCTTTGTCCCGTCATGTATATCATCTTGGCGGCCACTGCTCTCACCCAAATCCGCCATGAAAGGGACACAGTAGTTAGTTATTTGTTTAAAATATTAAAAACAAAACTTGCTACCTACCCGGCTCAGTAGTCTGACGTACTTGTTAGGTACTTCCGCGACGTGCTCGCTTTTAACAAACTGTAGGCGTACCCATCTTCTTCTTTGCCAGCTATACACCACCGGGCAAATGAAAGAGCCCCATCCTAAGGTAGTCAGTGGTAGTGCAAGTAGTATTTCATACATTACGTCATATTCATACAGGTGTCGTGAGTTGTTCTGTATAATTACTGAGTCCGGTTGGACAGTCACAAAAATCAGAATGATGAAGGTGTTGTGGACAAGCAACCTATTGTGGAGGGATGCTCTGTGTGTATATACTGTAGTTCAGGGAGTTTTGGCGGGGTTAGTTGGAGCGTGTGTTGTGTTGTGTAGTTGCACAGGTTGTGTATGTGGAATAAAACGAAAAAAAGACATTCTTACAAGTGCTACACTATTAAACTAGGTGGTTTACACAAGCATGAATCAACTTTTCTCTAGAAATGCGGAATAAATCTGATTCAATTATAAAACCCTGGTTTAACCTATAAACATTGGCTAATTATGTTTAATTACTTTGTCTGAATACCATTTGAGTGGAAGATATCCTGTAAAACATGTTCTGGAAAGGTTAAACTGAAATTATTCGTGATGTCTGTGGCCTAAACTAAAAAAATGGATTGATCATGCCCTACAAAATATACTTATGGCAAAAAATGTAAATAAAAAAAGTATGTTATATGTGAAGCATCCTTCAAAAGGAGACACAGTTACCAAAGAATTTGAAACTGCAGCAATCTTCTTGGAGAAGTGGTGCATTATCTGAGAGAAATGCTGGGGTGCCGATATTTTTGGCCATGACATCAAGTTTTTAACAGCATTGAAGAAGAATGATCGATACATGCAATTAGTTTGGTACCCATACCGAGTTCGGTATGATCTATTTAAGGTTTTCAAATTCTGCATATTACTTTGGAACAATGAATTTTCTAAAATACTACAACCATCAGTTTTTGCATGTAGGCTAATAACAGCCACATTTTAACATAAACCGACTTAAAAACAACTGTCCCAGCTGTATAGGGAGAAAATGGCATATGCATAATAATGTGGCACACTGTATACTTGTATCATATTCACTAGACCTGCAAGAATAAATACACTATGGTCAGCAATTCTCAACTGTTTTATTTATATTAACCATTCATGTGTATCCACAGCAGCATTCTTAGTAATTCCCACTTTATATGCAGTACATTACAAGGAGGGGTGACACTGGACAACTCCCACAGAACAGAAATAATGAAATGTAGCAAAGCTTGAGGGTGAGGGGGGTATTTAACAGAGGCTATAGTCTGAATAAACATGCAGCCATGCACAGCTCAATTTGTACTGAAGCCTTTGCTGATCGCACCCACAGGATTGAATACGCAAGTACCAAAAAAAACATTTAAAAAAAAAGCCATAGATGCCAAATAATAATTAAAAAAAAAACCTCAAATAAAAAAACAAAAGCATCAGCCCTTGGAACCACAGTGGGTTATCAGCCATGTAACATTACATTTTCCTTTACATCAGATGCTACAATTGCAATTTACGTTAAATATCCTGCCACACACACACACACAGGGAAAAAAAACTTGTTACAACCTTTGCTCAAATTTACCAAAATGACCCTAATAAACCAACTACAGATTTAGCCAAAGCTTACAGGTCTGGTCAGGTTACCAGTGAGTTTTTTTTTTTTTTTTTTTTTTAGTTTGAAACCAGACCACAAGGTGCACTGGTGCACGTCAGCCTGGCAGGCACTCCACTGAACTCCTTCACTAGGAACTGCTAACAGGAGCTGAGATTACTGAAGTGTATTAGCTTCTGTTTGAGTGTCATTATATGCACTCAATGAATATGACTATATATACAGCTTAAGTCTTTATGGATAAGCATATTAATGCGAGTACATCAGTGGTGTGTGTGCGTGTGTGTGTGTGTCCAGTTAGAACCGAGTTCAAGTGCATCTGAATGTATCCAATGAGCGAGTGCAGTGGAACTCTCAGATCCACCTCCAAATCCTCTAACATTGCACCATTATGTTGACAACTGTTTCAGATGCCTGTGTAAGCAATGAGCACTGATGTGTCCGTATCTAAGCAGACGCTTCCTCCTGGGACCTCCCTGAATCACCAGCTCTGCTCTGGATTTTCCTCAGGCCTGATCGTGACTAGTCCACCTCCTCCATGTTGCTGTAGGATGGGGCCGGGCACTCTCCAGAGTGGGTAAAAAGGTCAGAGGGAACCTCTGGGGTCAGTGTAGGTGGTCCTTCAGGATCCAGGTCTGTCCCAAATAGTGACTGGCTAGAGGCCTGTAAAATAAACCAGTGTAAACAATAAATCATTCTGGGAGATTTCATGTGTATGGAGAAACTGATGAGAATGTAACATTACATTACTTAAATAACATACATGAGGCCGGTTAACAGGTGGAAATTTTATTTGCCTTATATTATAGAAAGCAGCATCTAGACAGAGGTACCTAGATACATTTATGCAACAAAATTAGGTCAATTATTTTCTTAAATACAGTACTTTGATTGTATCAGCAGCTTCATGATTCAATTTAAATTAGATATGTTACTTCCTCACAAATTACAAGTCATTACTTACATTATTTCATAGCAAACTACACAAAAGCATAGTTTTGAAGTTTTGTCATTTCATTTATAGTCAAACAAAAACCCAACAGCATTTAACATTGTGCTGAAACCCCTAAAATTCAACTTTAAACCCCTAAAATCTAACAGTAAAGGTTTTAGTATCTGTCAAACCCTCTTAATGGCTGTTTGTATTAGTTACCGCAATGTTTTCAAATATTTTCAAACTCATCACAGTAATGGAGGCTGAGCTGGACTGACTCCAACCTTGCATATATCTATGAGTCAAGTGTAGATCTGCTACTCTGACCTAAGCCAAGCATTTAGGGCAGACACAGGTCGCTCTACAGCGGCTTTATACCAGAGGAGAACTGGGATTTCCCTGAGACCCAAACACACTCAATGACTGCAGACTAAAGAAATAAGCCATGGAAAGATTGGAGGGTGGGAAAGTGGAAAACACCAACAACAACAAAAACAAACAAACAAACAAAAAAATAAAAACTATTATTTTTAACAACTTATCACGATGCAAGAAAATCATCCAAATGTTTTGCTGGTCTATGTAATAAATAAGGAACAGAACATCTTTTGGGGATTTCAAATGAAAACTACACCCAATAATAAAGTAACCAATTATTTAAAAAAGACAAAACGTAAATGAAGTTACAGGTGTTGATTCAACTGTACAAATTTTTAAGATTAAGAGCTCCAAAGCTGCCCATACTCAACACCACTGGAGCTTTTGGCTCCAAACAAAATGACATTATTACATTCAGACATGGACAGTAACTCCCAGTTTCTTGGCTGTGAACAGGCTGCATCATCACTGGATTTCTCATTGAAAGATCTTAAAAAAGACAAAGCGACAGGTTATTGTTTACAGTAATTCATCCTGAGAAATCTAAATCCTCACCGGGCTATGGCTTACAAACATGAAAAAACAAATTATGAAAAAAATTCATAAATTAAAATAACTAAACAAAAACAAAAAATAAAACAAAATAAAATAAATTTTAATAAAACTAGATGGTGGCTGGAGAGCAATTTTAAGGTGCAAAATCTGTGTGTTCTATTGAAGGACATGGAAGAGTCAACAGCAATTTGTCACAAAAAAATAGTGGGTTCTCTTTACTTTAGCATATTTAGAACAAGACATTGTGTGTTCATCTATCTTGCATCGGTATTGCAGAAGGCTGAAATCTTGTCTCCATAGAGTGTAGTGCAATAATACAACAGGACAACGGTGGCTTCGTTTGTCACTTGAGAACAAGTTAAGAAGTTTCTTTCTGCACTAGAACAATTGTCTCATAATTCTGAACTCATAAGCACATTGTGCATGAATGAAACACTAACACTAAATCACATCATGACCAAAAATAAATAAGATTCTTTACTAGCTTTTCCAGAGCTGTCGACCACATCTCAATCTTCCTGCTCCTTATGTGAAGATTTGTTTTTGATCATGCTACTGTTTCCATGTCAAGAATGAACCTGATTGACTATATACACCGATCAGCCATAACATTATGATCACTGACGTGAGGTGAATAACATTGATGATCTCATTTCAGTGGCACCTGTCAGTGTGTGAGGTATATTAGGCAGCAAGTCAATAGTCAGTCTTCAAAGTTGATGTTGGAAGCAAGAAAAACAAGTATGCCTAAGGATCTGAGTGACTTTGACAAGGGCCAAACTGTGACAGCTGATGACTGGGTCAGATCATCCCCCAGACTGCAGGTCTTGTTGGGTGTTCCTGGTCTGTAGTGGTTAGTACCAACAGTGTCTAAGGAAGGACAAACTGTGAACTGCCGACAGGGTCATGGACACCCGAGGCTCACAGATGATGAGGTCGACCTACTGTAGATTAAACCTTCGAGTTTCATTCATCCTTTTCAAAAGATCCCATTTAGTTTGAATCATAACCTCTAGAGTCCCTGCGTCCTCATATGAGGACCGCACAGCTTGGGTTTCCAAAGCTCAGGACTCTAGAGGTTAAAATGAGTGAAAGTGAGAAATACTGTACATTGGTCTCTATGAAGAGAAACATTCAGAGGCTATAGTGGTGATATTACATCTAGAGTGGGGAGGCTGTTGAAAGTGTCTGCAAACTGATCTCTAGCTTGTCCTCACGACCACAGTTTTCACTCCTTTTACATATGTTTCTCACTGAATGGCCATCAAATCTGTGCTCTTCCTGACAGTAGAACTGTAAAAGCAAATGGATTGATCGAACATGCACAGTGAGCTGCAAAATTACAGCCAGGGGCAGCTCAGGAGGCAGAGCAGTCATCTTCCAACCGGAAGCCTGGCTGCTTGATTCCTGGTCTCCCCAGTCTACATGTCGAAGTGTCCTTGGGCAAGACACCCAAACCCCAAGTTGTCCTTGGTGGCCAGGCAGCAACTCGGACAGCACCACCATCAGTAAGCTGCGCCATGCAGGACTAATAAAAGAATGATTATTTATTTACACAAGTGCCAACCAACTGCAACACTGACTGCTGTGCACACACTATTAGGCACGTGGTCGTAATGTTATGGCTGATTAATATACAGTAGCTCCACATACAGGAGTGGGTGATTAAGGCTGTCACAGCCGGTCAGTGGAGAATAAAAACTAAAACGCAACATCTGGAAGCTTGAGTGAAAACAATGCACAGAGGCAATGAATTAGCACTCAATATACCAGCACCATGTGGTGACAGAATCACAGGACACCGACTGTTATATTATTTTTACATTCTACATGGGCCCTCGGTGTGTTTTACTGTGTGAAGTAGCTTAAATCATCTGAAGTTACACATGAGATTTAAGTGTTGTAGTATGGAGAAGTGACTAGAAGTGACTTAGTTCTTACTCAAGCAGAGTGTGAAAGTTATTAAACCTTCATCTCCTGTCTAAATTGGACCCCTCCTCATTTAAACAACCTCACATTCATATTTCTGAATGCCCTAGCAAAGGCAAGTCACCAACTAGCTAGTGCTTAGGCCCAGCTGGCTTTGTAAAGAAAAGGGTAGACTAGATTGACAAACAGAGCAAACACTGCGGTCAGTGTGCCTAGAACAAAGTATCGCACGCAGTCCTCGTCAGGATAGTCTGACATCCTCTGCCCACAGTGCCGTTGCAGAGACCCCTCTCTTCTACCTTCGTCTTCCTCGTCTCCGTTCCTCGGCATCTGACGCCTCCACAGCACAGAGCGGAAGAGTCCGCGGGGACCTTCATCGACCCCCTCCTCCTCCTCCAGTTCCCGCCAAATTAGAGAGGCCTGCGATTGGCGGAAACCGGTGTCAGCTTCTGGGAAAAGTCGTGATCTAACAAATACTATGATTATATTTAGATTCATTCAGCTGATCTATCTCTCAGTTTCTGGTCAACTGTGCTGTTACAGGAATCTGATGTACGTTCTCTGCCTAAAAACAACATGAGCGGTCTGCCTTTCAGAAATAAGATGGACAGGTATGGAGAAAATTCACTTTCTTTAGGTGTAAAACAACCGAATAAATCAAAAGTACAAGAAAACGGTGCTCCCCAAGCCCTTTCCCGCAAACCCATGGAAAAAAAAAAAACGTTGTATGAGAAGACGAAATATATAGTTTCACGTTGATGGCTGATGAAGATAACCACTACAGCATAACTATACAAGATAATTAGTTTTTAAGTTCCCTTAGACAATGCTGTGCTTGTGTATTGAGGACCATTCATCTTCCTTTAACCAATAAACACACAGTCACAGTTCATGGTGAGCATCGCAAGGTTGCACCTAACAACCTATAACAACACAGAGCAGCATTTCTGTCAAGACAGGAAGAGCTCGGTTTAATGCGGAATTTAAAGTGTACTTTCTGAGTGGCATAAGCCAGAGTAGGGACTCTGAGGGTGAAAGGAAGCATGCTCTGTCGTTTCAGCAGTGCACCTTACTGAATCTGCTGAACAACTCAATGTCACAAGATGCTAATGGACCTAATTAGGGGTGGAACGGTTTAAGTAAGATATCCGACCGGTTCGCTGGTCACATTTCTGGGCATGTAGGTATTGTTCAGTTCATTTTAAACAGGTTGAGACATTGGCATAAAAAAATCTAAACTTTTTGAGTAAAAAAGCCTCACGTCAATAACCCAACTTACTGTAGATGGCATGGACAAAGTGGTGGGCTCAGTCTGTCTTGAGAATGGCATTTCAGAGCTCTGCGAGTCAAGCGCTCCACAGATTCCACCAAAGCAATGAAAGCTCACTAGTTCCAACCAGAATTCCACCAAAATGGAGGAATACATCAAGCAAACACAATCTGTCATCTGTAACATCAATCCTACTGAATATGCAGCGTGTGTAGTTTTCATTTGCTGTTATTTTACCATGGGTTTGACACATTATACAGCCAGTAACTACCTCCTTGTCCACTATTTGTCATAGTTTTAGACTGTAGTTTTCCCTTTTCAGATGTGTTTGTTGCCTCCTCTGTGTGCTTTTTGTTCACCGAGCACTTCCAATGTGCAAATGAACACACCTGGTGTAGCTACAAACTTCTGTTGAGTCACATTCCATCTTAAGATTTTTTTAAGGGACCACAGGAACCCCCTGCAGGCTGACTGACAGCACTGGACAAAAATTATTTCATGTATGTTCATCAGTTTTTCGTTGTGTTTTTATTACAATGACAAAATTCTTTTACTTAAATTCTGTTGTCACATGCGCACAAAAAGTAAAGTGTTGGATAAAACACCATTACCTTGCTGCCCTGGGTACATATGTACCGAGTGACAGAGTTTTCTCAGGTAGATCTTGTTTTTAGCCTGAGAACGTGAACAAACTCATCATCTTGCAGAAGAACTTAAAATAGAATGAAATGAGCAGTGCTGTTTTGGAACAAAGCACATTTGGGTTATGATGCATTTTGTGTTGATATTAAAGAAGTGTTTATGCTCCTTTTGTTCTTAGCCAGAGTTTTAAGTCAAACATTTTACTTTTTGCCAAATAAATAAGCAGCATGTTGAATTTGGCAGTGCATTCCCCAGGTGGTACCAAAAATACACCGAAGCAAAAACCGTGATATGAACCGAAGCTTGAATTTTGAAAACCGTTCTACCCCTAGATCTAATGGATCTATCCATTTTTAAGCCACAAGAGTGTAGTTATGAAGCGTCTCGAAGCAAGTGAGAGCTCGTGTAATGAGAAGCACCGATTCTCAGAAGCACTTGGCACACTGGCTTCTGTCTTAACATTTGCCGAACACTTTGGAGCTTCTTTTGCAAGACTGGTCAGAGACTACGGGTGTAAAATCAGCTGTCAAGCTAATCCAGGCACATTTACACCAATATTGTTGTTAATGGCATTGATTAATGTGCATGATCCCGTTTTCAGATAAACTCAAACCGAATGACTGGTGAAGTATCTGGAATCATTTCTCTTGGTAGCAGGCACAATCTGACTCTACATTATGCAGAATAAAAACACCAACGACCTCTGTTACAGGATGCATCTGCAAGCAGATTCTCTTATATAAAGTAAATATATATATTTATATATATTGTATACAACAGTGATGCTATAGTTTTAGGATATTTTCCCAAAACACTTCAGCACAAGCTGGACACCTCTGATGCCCAAATTTAGGCCTAGACTACACTGCAACAATTTATACTAGCATTTTTAAACGGGGGTGTTGCTTTTATTACCCAGATAAACTGAATTATAATCACTAGCAATGTGCGAAAAACCAGATGTCAAACTTGATCATCTTCTCACTTAAATGGTTTTGTTACCCAAAACTGCTGCATTTCATCATGAAATGTCCATTTATTGACATAGGCCTTCAGCCTCTTATTGTTGTGGCTCCCTCACCTGACTAGCAGTGGCTCCCGCTGCAGTGGCCCGACCGGCCCCCTCCCAGCCACTAGCAGTGGCTCCTGCAGCAGTGGCCGACTCGGCTCCTACAGGCCTGAGGAAGCGTGGTGGCCTCTCTACAGGGGAGTTTCGGCGCCGGTAGAACAAAACGTAGGCATAGCGTGTCACCACCTGACTCTCCTCCACCATTGTCACAGTGCTGTCATCAAACAGACGCCAGCCTGCAGGAAAGGGAATATGGGGAGAGGTTAAGGAAGGGAACAGAGGTAGGTAACAACATGCTAGAAAAGTACAAGTAAAAAAGGAGAATAAAATGCTTGTGAAGAAGTGCCAACAGATAAATAAATGGGGGGGAAACCTCACTGACTGCACACTCACCAACATCACTGCGCTGACTGTTCTTGTCACTTGGCAGGCGAGCGTAGGCCGTGTAGTGGCCTCCTATCATTCCTCCATAATGGTTGATGACTGCATATAAGTCATAGATGGGGGGTTGTTGCATCTCATCCTTCTGGCCAATACAGAACTTACTCAGATCCAGATTCCTAGACCACAAGATGAAAATAGGGGAACACAGTGGTCAAAGTACTGCATAAGGCTGATTTAGTGGTGGGTATGTACCTTTGTAGTGTGTGTTTACCTGACAGGGAAGTCAACCATGTCGTTGATCTTATCCCTCCAGATGAAGCTCCTGAAGGAGAAGCGCTTGAGCTGGATGATCAGAACGCTGGGCAGACGCCACAGCAACAGTTGCTTGGAGGCCTCACGGTGCTGCTGGCACTTTGGGCAGTACCTTTAAAAACCACATTTTGGGCTCTTACAGTTGGTTCACATAATGCTTCACATTTGAAGGACTGCACTGAAGTAATTTTGGAAAACTAACAAGTTGTTATTATTCAGGTGGAAGTGGAGTCCAAATGCTACTGATCCATTTCAACTGGGGAAAAATGCGCTACATTTTAAATATACTACTTCAAAACCAGAACCTCAGACAGTAAGAAACAAGAATGATAGAGACTGGTAGAAGACAGCTCTCATTACAAAGTGCAGATTCCTACCATGCCTCCTCTGGTGCCAGCACTTCTGGCTTGGTGAAGAGGTTGAGGCACTGCTCCAGGGTGAAGTGTCCTGCTCTAGCTGTCTCACTCAGAGAGCTGGGGTCCTCATCATACTCCAGCTCCTTGGAGCTCACCAGGACGTACTCCTTCAAACGCTCATTGTTCTTCCACACCAACTCCAGTGTCACGTCATCAGGGAGATGCACCAACGTGTCCTCTGCAGTGATGGGAAAAGAGACAAAAAACTGTTAGTGTTGGAATTTTTCTTTAACAGTACACATAGCAAAAACACTTAGTCTCTCCAAAGATGAGAATTTGAAAAAGTCACTACTTTTTGCAGATTAATGCAATAAAATACCACAAAATACATTTGTAAATTATTATAGAGTTACAGTAATTCAACACCTCTCTCAACAAATGACTAATATGGAAAAAGGAAGACTTTTTTTGGAGATCTAAAGCACACATTTCCAGGAGTAACAACCAAGGTGCATACACAGCATGTCCAGACCAATTTTGCTATTTTGATGACACAAAAAAAAGCATATCTGCATCAGGCGGTCGTTTTGAAAGAGTTGGACTTACTCTCTTAATTAACCCATGGGTGTGTTTTGGGCGTAATATGCAATAAACTAATCAAAATGCCATCTGTGGTACCAGCTGGGAATGGAGAAGGAGACAGGAGGAATTTAAATCGTGCAGAGCCACAATTGTTCAACAATTTACCACTTAACTTGACCATTATTGTGACCAAAATTCTGATGCGCAATATAATCAAGCATTCACATGCTTTAAAATATCTTGGTGTAAACGATATTACTTTTAATTCTGAAAAGATTCTACATTTAATCTGTAGCATTTTGGTGCACTGCTGCGAGTCCCTGTATAAGTGTCAAGCAACATGTCTGCGCCTTGTGCACTCGCTTATGCATGCGTTATTACCAACTTGAGCTAGCACCTTTAAAATACCAAAACTGTGGACTCAGACTAGCATTTTGCTGGTCATTGGCGCAACTTCTTATTGCGTTCTCAAGTACTAAGTGCACCAAAAACACACCTACAAAGGCCCCTCATTTACACTGCCAATCCAAGTGTATGTGGTATCTTGACGGGCACAGGCGCTAGGAGGAAAGAATGACACTGCATTGGGTGCAAGATAGGAAATTACACTGACACAGGACTGTACACCTGGTGTTGGGTGAAATATAGGGGCCTAGGAGTCAGACTTTTAGTAGTGAATACAATACTGGTTATACCTCTCTCATCCAACCTCTGTTCCTTGTTGTTTGAGTCCACCAGAGATATGTAGAATTGACTGGCATGACCTGATGTTGATTCACTTGGATGCTGATACCCTGTTATTACAGCTGCAAAAAGGGGGAAGAACAAATATGGTGATGCAAAATGAAAAAAGTGAAAATAACAAACACTGAAGCATCTGATCTTGTCTTATCACCTTCTGGCCGCACTGCCTTCTCACAGGACGTCTCTTTTTCAGCATGAGGGTCCAAAGAGTAGCAGGAAGTTGTAGAGAGTGACTCAGAGAATCCTGAATCTGTAGTCCGTGTGGTGGAGAGTGAGGTCTGGGAGGAGGAAAGAGAATCAGACTCCACAGAGTGGAGGGCTGAGGCCTGAGCACATTCCCCCTTGGATCCAGGAAGCAGAGACTCCTGCTCCAGATCACCTGCTCCTACAGTACCGCTACCACCAGGCTCATCCCCAGACCCAAGACCCTCAGGAGAGCCTGCTGGCATAGGGGGAAGGTCAACACGGCACTGAGGTGTTTCAGGTGATGTCCTGCCTGACTGGAAAGGAGGCTGGAATACATTGACAGAAAACCTGCACACAGGGAGAGAGACAACACCTATATATGCTTATTTATATCCTTTAAATATTACACTACTAGATACACTAGATGAAAATTGCAAGCGATATTGATCACAAGTCATTTATTTTCTGTATGAATCAACTAAAAATGCACAGTGCTGTCTGATTATTACTACAGGTTGTTTTAGTACATAAATTCTTTAGACTAACTTCACAAGTGCTTATTAAAATGATTTTATTTCTTTGTGATTAACCAATGATAACTGAGTGATACGGTGCTCTTAATAAGGCAAACACCATTTAAACCATCTGTGCATATTTTTTCCATGAGCTGACTGCATTCAGTTCGGTATTAATATTAATTAATATTAGTGTGTGTGTATATCACTTTCTGGCACAAAGTTGTGTGTGTGTGTTCCATGGTATAGTTTAAGTGATGATGAGCACCAAGGACAGTAAGTCAGATTGTGTACCTGGAGTAACCTTCTAGTAGCTGGGTGAGGCGGGTGTAGGAGAGTCGAGACTCTGGCACGCTGACCAGGAAGGGCAGACCCACGTTCTCTGTGTTGGGTCGACACAAACCCTTGTGACTGGGCCAGTGGGTCCTCTGACACACTCTGGTTAAAGGAGAACACGAGTTAACACGTTCATAGAAGGGTAGAACAGAATGACACACACCCCAGCTTATTTGTAACTGACTGTAAACCAACTCACTGATTGCAATAGCCCACACGATAGCATCGAGTGCACCGCTTCAGCTTGTCCTCCTCAGACCCTTGAGGCTTCAGGCAGGCAGCACACTTTGAGATGGGGATATTAGGGACCTGGAGTTTCTGAAGGACAACAGAGCAAAGGAATACATTTCAATATCTGTAAACAACAACATACTGAAAATGCTGGAGAAATGGACACTCAGGACCTGACTTCTATTACCTGTTGCACTCTGAGCAATACCACTCTCTCTTTGGCCAGGTCTTTGGACAGCACCTCAAAGCAGAACAACATGTCAGAAGAGGACACCGTGTCCAGGGAGTGGGAAGGCAGGAACATGCGCTGGAAGCGGTTCTTCCCCACCTGAAAGGATTTAAGTCCAACTTCAAATTTAATGTTCAAAATTTCAGCCAGATTATAAAATATTTTTAAAACACCTCACCTCTGTGAGTCTGAGGTTCTCTGGTTTGACCCGCACACTCCTGGAAATGGATTCGAGGACTTCAGCAGCACTGGAGTTTTCCTTGCTCACACTCACCAAAAACTAGACACACATGTACACAAAAGTACAATGAGGAGAAAGAGATGGTCACATCTAAGACATGCTTTTATTTTCTCAAAACAAAGAAACACTTCTCTATTACACAGTTAAATGACACTGCCAGTTGTATGACAGTTTAAGCACAAACTCGACACCAGGTATTTTATCTCACCTTGATAGGTTTTTTATGAGGTTCCTTAGCAAAGTAGAAAACTGAGAGCACCTTCTGTTTCTGGGGCAATGGGACTGGCAGGTAGAGGAAAGGGTCAAAGGTGATCGATACCTGAAGAAGAAAAGAAAAATAAAGATGGTGAAAATAGGCTAGTCATCAAATGTTAATCATAACGGGGGGGATTACTTGAAACAAATTAAAACATTTTTTGAAGAATGTTGTTATGCATTACCTTGGAGCATGTGGGGCAAACAAGCTTAGATTTGAATTGGCCCTGAAAGAGGTCTACTATAAAGGAGTCATTTCTCATCTTGTGCCTCTGCCATGCCTCTTCTGCTACCACCTGCACCAGGAGACAAAACACAGCAGACCAAGCTTTGAGTAGACTGTAGGAAGAACTGCAACTGATGTTTCCCTAAGAATGTCCTCAAAATACTTTCAACTTCACCGTTATCCTGTGTAAAGTTTTAAGGGCAAATGAATAAAACTGAAAACTGTACAATGTGAACTCTAATCAGAGCATTTCCTGGCAAAGACTTCCAAAACACAGTACAGGGTGGGCCACGGAAAAGTAGCACGCCTCCAATACCGCTGCCACGCTCTCGAGTACAGGGGTAACTTTTACGTGGCCCACCCTGTACTTCCAAATATCTTGCAGGCGAGAAAAAAAAAACAAAAAAAAAACCCTTACTTCATCCAATCGTCCATCAGAGTCAACTGTCTCTGTGTAGGGTTTATTCTGGATGCGGTTCAAGTCCTCATGGAGCCCATCCAGCAAGAAAGCCATGAACTCCTGGGCATCATGCTGGGCATAACCTGTAAACTGACTGGCTTTACTGGCCACAATTGCCTGGGAGAATAAAGGCAAAACGTAAAAGGAATGAAATACCTACTGAAAACTGACCGTATTGTCCTTGTTGCTCTGAATGACATGAACAACACTTCCCCTGACAGAAAAGCACATGTTCAATATTTGACCTATGCAGTCGAAGACAGTTTTTATTCTTCCAAAGTAAAACACTCCTTAGCAGCTACAGAAAAGAAAACTTCACATGCAGAAAATCTCAGGGTGCTGCCTGCATACCTTGAGTTTTGAGGGTTGGAAGGCGTGGTGTGTTCCTTTCCAAAGGGCCCTGAGCAGCACTGCAAAGCCAATTGCGAGCCTGCCTCCTGTTCCCAGCGGATTATTGCAGTTGATTTCTGCCTCAAATGCTCGATCTGCAGGGGCACAGTAGTCACTGGGCACTTACAAACAGATAAACAACCAACAACATGTGGGAAAACTCTCATAGATAAAACCAAAATTCCCTTGGAATGACTAAAGTCTTGACACACCATCACTTCAAATATTTAAACAAATCATTTAAAATGTGCAGGCCACAGTGTTTGTTGCAGGATGGCTCCTCCTGGTGATGTTATAGTTAAAATGACTGTAAAAAATATCAATTGTACACTACCCCTCTGTTGTAGTATGTAATGTATGTAATAAATAATTTTATCAGCTAATGTCTCATCCCTAAAATATTAGGTTTCTATCTAACATGATAAACACATCAAGCCAAAAACTAGGTGACCTAGATTTTGCTGCAGTTATTTCAATGCTTTAAGTGGCTCCCTGATGGACTAGTGGCTAAGATTCAGCGCTCTCGGCACTGTGCCCCGGGTTCGATTCAGGGTTGTGTCAGGAAAGGCATCTGGTGTAAAAATGTGCCAGACTTCACCATGCAAGTCATCAGTGTGACGATTCGCTGTGTCGACAGCCCTCGAGGCTACGTAGGGAGGGCTAGAGGGCGCAACGTGAATTATTCATTTCAATGCTTTAACTGCTTAAACTGCAGAAACTGTATTTGGTTTATAAAGATAAAACCTGAAGAAATTACTGAGTCCTCATTAAACTTGCCCTTGTGGGCCATCTGGAACAATTGTTGTTTCCATGTTAACAGTCCCCAGGACTCTGTGCAGCAGTCAGGGCTAATGTGACAATAATTATCACAGCAGTATCTATGTGCCAAAACACTCATAAAGCGCAGCCCATTATATCTCTGAGCAACATTACAGGGTGCTGTCTTAGGCAGTAGTATAAAGTTAAAATCAACTGTGCATTTAGTCAACATTAGGAGCTGAAACTATTTTAACAGAATGGCAAGACAATATACAAATACTACTTTGTTTTTTCCTCTTCACAGCTAAACAATGTACTCAAATGCCCAATTTACCATGGAAGTAATCCCTGAGCTCTCTGGTGTTGGACAAGGATTGGATAACACTGTTCATAAAGCAGGTGTTGCCAAGGTTGACCAACCCAGTAAAACCAGGCAGGCACACCTTCTTCTCCTCCTCTTCCTCATGACGTTCATTGCTGGCAGGTGCTGCATGGGTCATGGGTTGCACCATGCATGTGGGCTTAGGCTGAGACAGGAAACATACAGACAAACAAACCAATTCCATTAATCAGACCGATGTGATTTTCATCTTCGCTCCCGTCTACGAGCTGCTGGACTATACTGCAATATAGAATATTTTTATTAGTTTGGTTCACAACTGTCTTAACACCAAGCTTCTATTCTTAGATAGCACTAAACAATAATGTGCAACTTAGCCTCATTTCTTCAGTTTCTATGGTGTTTTTTTTTTCACTCACTGTGGCAACAGTGGGCTCTGGTTTGGTAATAGCAACATGCTCAGAGACGGTCCGAGGAGCCACAGTACCCAGACCACCATCCTCCACTCTGGGTGAGGCCTTAGAGGCCTTGGGTTTCTCCTCCCCAACCCTCGGAGGCTCCTCCTTGGCTGGGAGATTGTGTTGACTGCTGCCTGGTTGGCTTTTCTCCATGCAGGCAGGGCTAGAGGGCACAGCGACTTTAGCGCCCCCCACTGCACCTTAAACAGAGGAGAATGGAGCTTGTGGTTAGAAGATAAAGGTCAACATGAAGTTAACTAGACAGTACTGGACCTGGCTATTAATAGTCTGCTGTATTAGGGAACCATTACATTCATAAAATTTGAGAGATTTATACTCATTATGGCAGTGCTGACAAATCAAAACATTTTTGCACTTTAAACAAAATACTAATTCCCATATTTTGCTTTGTTATCATAATCTCTTGGTAATGCTTTATTTTCTAGGTTAGTCATTTCCATACATTTTCCTCTGACGTTTCCTGGATAGAGGTATTTGGTACCACTTAGAGTAAATAGGAATTTCCTTGACAGAAAAGCACCCTTCAAACAAGTACTGTATTCATTCAGCATTTAGTTATTAGTAGCCATGTGATCCTTGCGCATGCAGGCTCATGCTTTTGACTGACTGTGTGACAAAGATGCAGCACATTGGCACTACATTATTTCACCACACATTAAAACATCAAAAATTTACATCTTCACATAGTTAACAAATAGAAGCCTGGCAGCAGACCGTGTGTGGAAGGGGCCTCCAGACCCCCCCAGCGCTGGCTGTGTCTCTTCTTCAGGGTGATGTCCAGGCGGGAAGGGGTGAAGGAGTAGCTGCACTGCTCAGGCTGGATCAGATTCCTAGTGCACGGGAAGAGAAATGTGCACAGGTATAGTTAAAAGACAGGATTGCGCTAACGCTTCCACTCACCACCAATCTGTGATCAGTGTTTTTACCTACTAAACGTTTAAGGTTTGGATTTTATTATTTTAACACAATGTTTTAAAAACACTTAAAACATTTCAATTATGGCACAAAGGAATATGACATGTACTGTGGGAATGATCAGACTCAAATCTCTTTAAAATTTAGATTTTGTCAGGATTTACTTTGGAAAAGCAAACAATGCTTAATCAATGTCCTGATAGCAAATATGAAACAAGTCTCCAATAGTGAATTGTCATCAAAGGTTTTTAAGCCATCAGGCAGCATCTTATGTATTTCATGTAGGGGTGTGACGAGATGTCATGCCACGAGATCTCGTGATATTAAAAAGTGATGACATTTTTCACTGAGTCAAAAGCTGTATCGCAATAACAGTACATAACACAAGTAGAGCAGAATGTGAAGGCAAAGTGAAGTATGTTCACATTAACGCAACTCCTTGCTGTGTTTTAATGCAAGATGGCTGCACTGGTCGGGAGGTGAGGGGTTGCAGGGGGAGTGTTGTAGGCATGTACAATACAGCCACGTTGTTGAGTTGATTTGAGTGGCTTGTTCACATTTCCATTGTGTTTTGGTTAGCCATGCTGCTAACGTAGCCTACTTTACCTTAGCACCAATTCTACCGCCAGTGTGTCGGCACTGATAGATAAAAAACAGCTTAACATCCAGTACTAATAAAAATGCACGGCATGTCATTATGGTGTGTTAACAGTGGGCCAAATTTGGCCCACTATTTAAATCAATGACTCACAACAGTGACTGTAATGGTTACCTGAGTTTGACTTGCCACTTGAAGACTGTATTTGGTCCACAGTCTGAATGAAGCCGCAGAAAGTTGGCATCGCTGAGAAATAATGACACAGAAAGACCTCTTATCATTCACTTTTGCTGTGTTCAGACATAAAACCATGCTATATTTGTAGCTTATCCACATGCACTACCTTGTCTGGAAAATGAGGGTGAAGTCTTGTTCCCTGAAGATGACCCTGGCTGTGTCCCTGCAGATCCCCTTCATGTAAACATTAACCACCATCAGGTCCGTCCCCTTCTCATAAGAATCATTCTTCACAAACTGAAGGTTAACCATCGGCTCTGAGGCTGTGGAAAGTTGTAACAGGGATCAACAAACTCGTATTTAACTGATGAAGTCTGAGCTGACAAACTATTTTGAGTACAAGTAACCTAACTGTGTATATACTTACTGGGTTATTTCTTCATCCATCTACATTAAATGTATACAGATTGACTGGGTGCCAATCTGGGAGTACAATGATTTTTACCAAAACTAAATGGAAAACAAAGATATGTGCATTTGGATTGTCATGTATGGAAAAGATAATCCTTCTTAGATCAAAACCGGGGTCAAAAGTTTGGAAGGTGTTGAATAATGTTCACTAATTGTTTGCTATGGAAAGGTATTTAAAGTTATTTTAGCACAGACACACCCAGCAGCTGGTGTACAATCAACAATAACAATTCAACACAAAAACGAAACTCAAGGCCTTCTGTATTCTCAACTGACCTTCTTGTTGCTTCATTTCCAGGGCAGGCTCCTCCTTTGACTGGTCCCGCTTCTCCTCTTCATCACAGGTACCCTGCCTCTGGGCTGGTATAGGTGATAGGCCTGGAACTGGTAGTGGTACCGCTTCTCTTAAACCAAGCTGCTGGTGGATTAGAGTATCCAGCTCCAATTCCTGCTCAGCAGGTTTTTTCTCTGGCTCAGAGTCTGTTCTATCTCCTAGCATTTCAGGAGAAGCAGAGTCCACTTCACTGTTGAAGCTGAAATCTTTGAGGCAGTCATTGGTGCTGATGGGAGCTGCTAGCTGGCTTTCACTGCTATGTGTTGCTGTTGCTCCAGACATGTCTGAAGACTGATTTTGCTTCTCTGCCACCTAAATAACAAATAGAAAATAAGAATTGTGACTCTCTCTGTAGTAGGGGTAGTGGAGAATATCTAGAAGCACTGGTGTGAGAGGTTAACTTTGGCAGGGTTTCCACACCTCCTTTTCTCCCTCTCATCACTGCAGTTATTTAAAAAAAAGTAAGCTTAGAACTTGATTCCAACTCACACCAAGGCCATGTACAGTACATGATCAGTTCTTTGGTGAGAGCTGAAACATCTGCTTAACACCTGATGCGCTTAAGACACCTCACTACACTACACAGTTATCCTCTTGTTTGGTTCACTCATCTTCATCAGGCAAGCTGTTGTGTGAACAAACTGCAAGATGGGCAACAGGTTCACAACCAGCACAGACAGTCTGTAGGTGGGGTGTTTACTGTTTTATTAAGCATTACTACAAACAGCACAAGACAGAAACCACACAGGCTTGACTGTGTTATTGGCCAGTGGTGGAAAGTAACCAGTTTACTAAAGCACTGTACTTAAAGGTGCATTAACTAAGATTTTACACATTATCAAATGGGACAGGATGTAGTGTCATCCGTCCGTCTGTTGTGATTTCTTTCTATAAATTTACTGCAACATGACATGGCTAACATTCAGACACTAATATTAAGTGTTCATCTATATTACTGAAACAACTAATAAGCAAACACTTATCACATTTTGACTGCAAAATTTTACATCCATAATAATAATTCTGGATGAAAGCAACCCAGTTGGGGTGTTCTACTGAGGAAACAAGGTCACAGCTTTTCTCACCTGAGCTTTGTTGGTATGGCCGACAGCGACAGCAACAGCAACTCCAGGTTTCTGTTCCTGACCACTGCCTAGTCTCTGTGCTCTGTTGTCTCCATCCTTGCTTTGTGTTTGTGGGCTCCGACCAGCGGGGAGGTTTGTTAGTGGTGCTTTACTATGAGACCTGACAGAGTGCATATCTTGGGCAGCTGCTGACATTGCCTCCTTGGTGGTCTTGGGCAGTTGCATGATTGTGCATTCCTGAGGCTGCAGTTCACCTCTCCTGATGGCAGCAGGCTTGCTGGCGGTGGCTGGGCCATCTCCAGCTCCACATTTAACCCCTACAGAGTCAGCAGTGGCCTTGTCACATGCTGGTTTATTTTTCAGACAGCGCTTAACACCCCGCTCAGTTTTAACAGTGCGTCTAGACTCGCTGTGTGTCGGTGAGAATGAAGGCTGGGGCTGGAGCTGTGGCTGTGGAGAAGGTACTCTGGGTTTCTCTGATGACTCTAAGGCAACAGGTTTCATATCTTGCTCCTTGCCATTTCTGGTCTCTGTGGACGCTGCCTCCTTCTCCTTTTTGTTTGACTGAAGCACAGCAGACAGAAGCACAACCATTTTATCATTACCCTCAGGCAGACTGAGCTGACCCTGTTATGACATTAAATTTCCAATCTAAAATGATACACTTTCATGAAATGATAAAAATAATAAAACCACATCTATTAGTGAGGATAAAAATAAGACAAGGTGCTCATGTAAGGACAAACAGAAAAATTCACATCACTTTACATGACTCACCTTAAGCGAAGGCCAGTTGTGAAAGGGAATCTTCTTGTGCATGATGACATGTAGGAAACCTCCTTTTTCTTTATACTGGACTCTGCTACATGAGGCCTCAATTTCCTCCTGCAGCTGGCAGCTCCACTGCTGTCCATCTGAAAGATGAGAACCATGCATATACATTAATTAGAGCAAGACTGGATTCATGTATTCAGTGTAAATGAAAAGACTGCAGCAAGATATGAATAGACAAGGATTTTAACATATATATAATTATGATTAAATAAAAACTCAAAGGCCTAAACCCAAATGCACAACTGTTTCTGGTCTGCTTTTTTGTTTATTTTAATAACATGCAACCTCCTTATGTTCATTTATGCTCCGCTCTTATAGATTCTGTTTATATTTGCTTTACTAGGACTTACCTGGGAAACCCACATGGCAGTGTGTATCAGTGAAGGTTATGCTGATGTCCTCTATCCTCTGTACTCCTTCCCCACAGCGCAGTCTGACAGTCACTTCATTTAAATTCTGCTTCCAGTCCACAAACACATCTGAGAAGAAAAAAAAAAACAAACTTGTGAATCTTTACTCTCCCTTTTCACTATGATTATTAGACACACACACACACACACACACACACACACACACACACACACTAGAGAAGCTGAGCATGCAAGTCAGCTTTACTTTTGTTGCCACTTATCTTAAAATATCCCCATACTGCTGACATTTTTCAGCCGCCTAACAACCAGCTCAGCCAGCGTGAGGTTATTGTAATGCTGTCATTAATTGGTATCAGTGGGACAACTTTTATGAGTACAAACAGAGTACTAGAGGGTGGTATCGGACGCAATACTGGCATTAGCATTGGATCATTCCTAACAAATATGGAAGCAGAGAGTGAAAGAAAGCATAAGTAACGCTCATAGTGAATGTTGAGAAAGTAGTAAAAACATTGAAAAGCACCTGCCCACAAATTCACAAACAGTAACACTGCACTCATATCCTCAAGTGGGTTGGTCCAGAGCACTCAGGCACAAACTGAAGCAGACACTACAGTGAACTCAGTAATCATAGAAAGGACATCTAAAATTATCCACACCACACAAGTTGTATGTCAAGCAGACGCACGCATGAAAGCAAATATTTTAGAAAACATGCTTCTAAGCCAGATGCACAGGTACATTTAAGAAATGGAAACTCAACAAATATCCCAACATGAAAAACAATAACATGTACCATTTTTCATAGTGACCTCAAAGTTGTGGCGGTGATCGAAAATAAAATATCATCCCAAAAAGAAGCAACACTAGTTACAGATTCCCTGCTGGCAAAGAAGTCGTGCATGAATCATGCATAAACACTTGTACTGCGATTTAGTCTTCAACAACAACTGGAGAACCTCAGTCTTCCCACTGTCACTTCTTCACCCTCTCTCTCTCTCTCCCACTCCCTCTCTCTAACGTAATTGCTTTACAAAGGACACAAGCAACACCCACTCCCTTCCAGCTGGGGACAGTTTTATCCCCAGAGAAGACGCACCACAGGTACTTTAATGACTGGGTACTGAGGGGAAAGAAGGAGAGAGAGAGAGAGCGAGAGAGAGGGTGTTCTTGTGACCTTGACCAACCCAAGCTTCCTAGACTGGGCTGACTGTCTCAGATGGAATTACAGGACTTTAGTATGACAGAGACAACCAGCAACACATGTGCAGCCCTCTAGTTGGCGACCACAGCAACATTAAAACAGAACTAACATGATGCACTCAAACAAAGCAAAGTACCGGTAAACTAAGGTTTATCCACTGAGACGACTGAAAAATTTAAACATTCTAATCTCATCATATATTGAGGATATACAGCAACACAGTACAGAAAACAAACTACAAACCCAGGAGAAGGGAGTATCTGCCATATGTTACACTGATCCAATATCAAGTATCCATACTGGAGCTATTTCTGGTTAATTACCAAATGCTGTATCAGACCTGTGTTGTCTTCAACACAAGATCTATTAATAAAGCTGTACTTCAACTTCTGATCTAAATAAATTAAACACTCTTGGGGAAAAAGTGCAAGGAATTTTTTTTTTTTTTTTTTAACATGTAGTCATGCATACACAAAAAACATGTTTTCCACACACAAATATGAAGTGCCATATAGTGCAGGGAGGTATGATTAACTTCAAGCTGCATTTACTTTTGGCAATTTTCCACCATTACTTTCCACTAAATAAATACCTCATACCTAAAGGAGTGGTGAGTCAGCCACAACATAGCTCTGCTGTTAACCACTAAGTCATTTTCACACCGTGTTTAACCAGGACAACCTAGGCTTTATGAAATGTGTATAAGTAGGACTTATTTTAACCAACACTTAACAATGTTGGGCTAAATGAATGATGTACCCGTTTCACATTGGCCCGATGACATCTGAGCTGACGATAAAACCAGTTCTTTGAAAACAAAAATTATTTCTATTTTGTATTGTTTACTTGCATCTTCACTTTCTTTAGACATTTATGAAATGGTGTAACTCAATGGCTTATGGGGCATGAAATATGCCTTGCATCAGCATTTCTTCCTCCAGGGATGAACTAGTGTCAGGCAAAATCATCACTCGAAGCAACCCACTTGTAGATTTGAGTGATTTTGGCATTTGCATTGCTATCTTAAAACTGCAGTGATCCCTGTGCAGGACAAATGAATAGTGATGATGTAAAGTTATTTTCCATTTGAATGCCTACAGGGATTACCAAGCATTTTTTTCCTACTGGGGAACAAACGTAGGAGTAAACAGGAATGGATACAGATGTAAAGGCACATATCTAATTGCAATCTAATCCTTGTGTAAGGGTTATGCAGAATATTTTAATACCATTAAATATACTTCAAGGTCACAAAAGACAACTTACAGTTCCCTCCTTTTTAAACTCAAAAGGATTTGACCTTTATCAGGCTTTATCTCTACAAATCTACTAGATGTTGGAACCAAGAACAACTAACAGTCTTACGGTCGTGTGTGTGTGTGTGTGTGTGTGTGTGTGTGTGTGTGTGTGTAGAAACACTCCTACAGTACAGTGCACATTCAGATACAATCACTTCAGTGAAAGCCATGAAACTGCATACAGAAATGCTCTTATTCATAACCACACATAAGTATAAAATTCAGACAGAAAGAAATATTTTCAATGAGACACACACTCCAAAATAAATGTAAAGTATAATATGTATAAAACAAGGTGGCCAGCTCAAAACAAAAAAAATAAAAAAGCTTTCAGGCAGCAGAGTGAACTACACCAAAGAGATGAAAGTAACAAAGGTGAAACACTGCAACAAACACAAAGTGCTGCCTTTTCATTCAGAATGGTGAAGACACACAATCATTAGAGTAAAATGAGAATTTTTAGAGCAACTGAAGTGAAAGTATTTAAGTGACTGAAGGTGTCATGTAAAATAAATGTTTACAGCTCAAAATATACAGAAACTGGTGTGTCAATGTGTAAAACAATAAAGTGAAATAATTAAGCCATTACCAGAGTAAGGGGCATATTATTTTTCATTGCACTACTAACCAATTAATGAATTAATGATTTCAGTTCCATCTCAGTAACATCCATCATAGTTGACATCTACATCAGCCACCAGATGTGACATCAATGTCACTTTTTATATTCTTGACTGACAAGCCATTTGTTTGGAGCCCAACAATGATGAGAATAAATGTCAGCGACACATGACCTAAATCTCCCTCCGTAACGTATACACAAAGCTAATGTGACAATGGCTTATTTACTATGCAAATATGACACTAAGTAAATCTTGTTGGTCTGCAAGCAGCTAACTAGTACTAGCGGCTTGCTGTTTAATAACATAACTGAATTGTGAAAAAGCTAAAACATGTCCTCAGGAGGTTTCTTGTAAACAAACAAAAGTTATGTTTACATTCATTGTGTATTCTTGACAGCAAATGTGGTAAATCCATGGTGAACATATCACCTATGTTTGTGCTGTCAATCAGCAGAATAGCATGACATTGGCAGCAGGATGTGAAGTGCCCTGCCTATGTGCTTGTTACAAACAAAACATGGCTACAGCTGTAGTCCTCTTTTGACCACTTTAAAGGTATACAAGGACAGACATATGCATGGCAATGCACCCATTTCACACTAACCCACTGCCTGACAGCTGGCGGCAATAAAACACAGAACTGTAGCAATGCACCAACAAAATGGCAACATGGACGCAAACAACGTAGAATTTTAAATGCCCAAAAGCTGGCTAGGTAAATCTGTTATATGAAAGACCCTCAAGGATATGCACAATATACACTGCCTAACCACTTTATTAGGTACACCTGCACAATTATTTGCAACTCAATGTAACACTTCTGCCTGGGGATGACAGCAGTCGTATCCCAACCGGAAGGTTGAGGGTTCAAATCTCAATGCCTGCAGTCCACATGTCGAAGTGTCCTTGGGCAAGACACTGAACGGCGGCCCAGGGCCCTCAGCTCCAAACTAAATTTCATTGTATGTGTCACAATGTTACAATAAAATAAAGCTCCTTCTTCTTCTTCTTCTTCCTAACATCTGTGTTTATGAAGCTCAAAATGTTCCTACAGTTGTACAGGTGTGACTATTAAAGTGGCCAAAGCAGTGTGTTTTGCTGAGAATCTGTGAATATAAAGATAACTTTGTCTACAAGACAGCATCACAGGATAATTTTAAGATAATGATGGGTTTCTATGTAGTTGTTGGACATTTCAGATGCTGCTTAGAATAACAGTGTCCAGTAAAATATGCAGCCAACACAGGTGTGCTACATTTGTCAAATATAATACAATATAAAACAAGTGGAAATGCCTGATTACTATTTGTATACAATATATTTAGTTCAGAGTACACAACAATATTTATTTAGCAGTTTGGCTACAATGTGTTGTTTCAACTTCATTTTTTTTTTATATACAATTTTAAGATTACAAATAATCTGCAAATTGGTCTATGACAAATTGACTAGCTATAACATTGGTTGCACAACACATTTTGCCTTATTTACCTTTTTTGACTTCTGCAATGACCCCTTCTACTGGTGCAACTGCTGCCCTCTTGGCCTCTCTGCTCTCCTGGTTGGCCCTGTCCTTCTGCTTCTTCTTGCTGGTACTGGAGGACAGTTCTGAGTTAATGTCCCTACTGCTGCCTCGTCTCTGCTGTGCCCCTCCACGGCGACCCACTGTGTCACTACCACCGCTGCTGGCCATCTTCAGGCACTTGGCACTAACAGGCCGCCCGTCGCTGGAATCACTACCACTGCTGGGGTCTGGATCTGAGGTGTGCCTCTTCCTGCCTGGCCCAGCTATCTTGGCGATGATACTGGTCTGAACTCCCCCAGAACAGAATCAGAAAGGCTAGCAAGGGATGGGGACCTAAGGCAGAGTGTAGAGAGACATATAAGGGGCGGTTTCAAATATTATCAATGCTGAGCACGGTATGTATATTATGGCTTACAAAAGGAAACATATCACTGCACATAACGTTAATCGAACTAGACCAATGTTGTGCCTTGCCTAGTTTCCCTAGCATAGCAACGGCGAATTGCTAGCTTGCAAAGTCAAGTGACAAAGGACAACAATTTAGAATCAGGCATTTTATTCGGCGTTCAGTACAGCGCATTCACTAAAAACAGGAGTGAAGTTCATTAAGCTAGCTAGGAAACTAACGATACAGCTACCCGTCCCCCGAGTTGTTAGCTTGGTAATGGTTAGCTAGTTAGCCAGCCGACAGCAGAGGTTCGTTTATTTTAAGGCACATGTCTTTTGGGCTGTCATGTGCCAGTAGATATAGAGTAGTTACATATATCTACCAAGATGGCGTTATTTTCACTGGATTCTGTTTTATCACGCCCATTATTGTAACCAATAACATTAAAACATTACTTATGTACCTCACGTTAACGCTAGTTCACACTGGGGAGTGTAGGAAATAATGTTGCAAGTCGTGGACGATACATTACATTATAACTTACACAATCCAATTCAACTGTCTTGGCACCAACGTTAATTTATTGAAATAACGTTAACCAACTACATTATAATTAGTCGGATTATATCTAATGGCTTCACTATACGATCGCAACCCATAGCTCTATGTCCTATCCGTGTCTTCACCCAGAGCAAAGGACAGGTAATAAAATCAAACGTCCCTAGTCTACGAACACCTAATGTCATTAGCCACAACAGGCTAATGCTACCTGGCAAGAAACTGGTTAGTGTAGCAAACGTAAACTATTTTACACAAACACCACAACAGGACATCTCATGACACCCGGAGCCTGTGTGTTATTAAAAAGCCATATTGATAACGATATTAAAACGGGGAGCTTACGTGGCTTCAGTATAAAGACAATTCCGTTCCTGAAAAACAATAGTCGGTTATTCCTTCTCCTCCCGGCTGCTAAGCTCCTTTACGGCCACGGGCCACTGTGCTGCTGCCAGTACTAGAAACCCCGTAGTTCACGGTGTTTCTGGAATATTCCTTCCTTTATCCGGGACCCATTTCTGGAAACTATGAACTACTTATATCAGTCAAAGGCAAGCCAACGACCGAAAGGCTGTTCAGCTTGGTGCTGCCATTCGGCTACTGCGGGGTTGACTCCTACTTTGTTTGGAATAAAACCCACCGTCGCCCGGCCAAACCTGAAACAAGTACGCGCATGAGCCACTTCCTGGCTGGCGCATTCACGTGATCTGTAGCTCTTCTTTTACGTCACCCCCCTCTTCTACTTCATACTTTCACTTCACTAAACTTCAGAGACAAATAGTGTACTTTTTACTCCACTACATTTTTTGGTAACTTCAGAACCATAAGACTTTATTACCCCCACCCCTATGGGACATTCGCCAGCAGTATGTAATGTTTTTCGGATTATAATTATTAGATTCAAAATCAACAGGTAGTTAAATGAGCTCCACCTTGCTCCACCTTAGCTGTAACATTAAAGTGATTAATAATAATTATAACCCATAACATAATATACCCTACATATTAATGTGAAATATGCCATTCTGCATAATGAGTACTTTTACTTTTGGCACTTCAAGTGTATTTTGAGGCCAACACTTTTGCTCATAAGTACAATTTTGAATGCATGATTTCCACATGCAACAAAGTATTTTTACCCTGTGGTATTTAAAGGATCAAAGTACTGTTAGTCTTGGCCCCCGATGGCTGTTTGCAGTATCGATATAGGTCTCCCTGCATGTCAGTGGATAGAATGTGAGCCAAACTAAATATTCAAAGTACAAATTAAATACATTTTTCCCAGAAATGATTTCTGTCATTATTCTTAGATATTATCATGCTGATTTGTGTATAAGTGATCATATTTCTGACAGACCTCCAATCATAGATCTGTGGTGCTCATGACAGCTCCTTATGTGGGCCAATATTCCAAAACATATTTTTTGAACCAGCTGAGGAAGGGCCTGACAGGGCCATGGCTATACTACACCATGGCTCCCAGGGGCTTGTCCCAAAAGGCACCCCGGGGCCTGCGTCAGTGGTGATGCTGTTTCCTTTTCACAATCTAACACACAAAGAGCATCTTGAGAAATAATAACTACACTGAAAAAATAAAATTTATCTCATTATATTAGTTCATATTTCATACACTATCAGTCAAAAGTTTGGAAACTATTTCAATTCAATTCAAGGGGAAAGTGTGTCTAAAATTTGTATTCATATTGATGAAATTTGAAATCTGGCCTCACTAGTATTTACTTGCACACATTTACCTCAACTATACTTTGGGAGTAAACAAATGTAAATATTGAAGAGACTGTTGTGTTCAAGCACACTAAAAAGGTTTATCATCATCATCCTCATCACTGAGATGTATGGAAACTTGGTAAATTAAGTAAAAAATCATCTAAAATAAAATTGCATCAAAACACTGCCTAATTTAACAACACTGTATAGCCAAAGCAACTATTAGAAGTAAAATGTCTTTCTGATTTCCTTTATTTCTAATGTACACTAGCTCCTTCTCTATTGCTTCCTCTTTGAATTGACCTTTGCCCTCTGCCAGTTCTTGGGGATAAAGTAAGCCTGACTAACTGTTATTTTGCTGTTAATACTGCCATTTATAATGATCTGACTTTACTGAAACTTTCATCAAACAGATGGCTGTAAAGTCTGCAGAGATGCAGACTTTGTCAAAGGGCACATCAAGGTCTCATGACAGCACTCAATAGCACCGGGAAGAATAGAAAAATGGAAATGAGAAATCTTACACCTTTGCGGATCCTTGGGAGAACACCTCCAGGCCACAAGACAGCAAGGATAGAAAATGGGACTGTATCATTCATGGAGGCTTTTCTAATTCTAACTATCTCCTGATGAAAAAGCTCAGCAAAGGTACTTCAACAAAGACAAATATTAAGTTATTTAACCTTTATTCACAAAACTGTACAGTGTAAAACTTTACATAAGGCTCTTTTGGTATTTTTACTTTGGCAATGAATTATCAAAATCTTGGCTGCCAGGTAATAGGTGGTCTGGGAGACATATGTACTGTATATAAAGCTTTCTGGTTTGTTATGTTATGCAAACAGTACATGAGTAAATGTTCAAAATACTGGCACAGTATAAGGCACAATTAAACACTGTACATACTGTAGAATACTTTGTGACTTCAGTGAGGCAGCAATTACTGCAGATTGTACATTTTCCATCACAGTATATTTGATAAACAAACATTCACAATCTTTGCATTACAAGTTTGCAATTAACAAAAATCAATCCTGGCAATGATTTAAATTAATAGTTTATCTGTTTCTTGGCCAGCAAAAGCAACTTGCTTGAGTCTCCAGTGGTTAATATGTTCATTAATGAGCTTTACAGGCTTTGGTAGGGTGATTTTCTTTTTATCTTTGGACAAATCATGGTTCACTGTTGCTCCCCAGTCTCCACTCTCTTTCTGAGCTAAGCTAACCATTTCTCTGCTCCATGTTCATACTAAATGGACATGTCTGACAGAGGTATTGATTTTCTCCAACTGTCAAACAATTCCATTAAGTTTATTCAAGGGTACCACAGGGAATGCCATTTTTTTCTTTTACCCAAAAGGGTCTATCCTTGGTACAGTGACCACTTCAGAACACATCAGACTCAGCTACAGTAAACCAAAATCTCTTCTTGCTTCACCAGTTCTGTCTGACAGGTGACACTGGACCAAAGTTCACTGACATACAGACTGAAGGGACAATCGATTCTGGTATCCCTAGAGCTCTGCTGCTGGCATACACAGATAGCTCATGCTCTCTCCATTATCCCTAGTATCTGTATACTGTGTAGTATCGGACAGAGGTGGTGTATGGGCAGGTTTCTATTGGCTTACCAAGTCAAACAGTTCATTTTATTTTCACATAAAGTAGCCATATACAATTTGTTTCCCTGTTACTGTATTTGCTTCCTAGCACCACAGTTTTTTATTTATTTATTTATTTAAAATTCACTTAAATGCAATAAATGTGTTCATGTCTTCATTCTTACTGAAAAGTCATGTAATTAAAACTACAGGGGGACTAGGGCCTAATGTCAATACACATACTGCATGTCTGTACTTTGGTTTCTTTGAAAACTAATTTTAAAAAAATCAAAAAAATTATTTAAAGCCTTACCATTTACACGTTTCACTGATTGTTACCAAAAATAAAATATATTTTCACTCTCATTTTGTCCTCATGTACCACAAAGTTATTGTTTCCTGTTTTAAGAAGACATTGTCCACTGCAATTCAATGAAGTTCTCTTGTGGTGAGCACAGCTCAGTAGTAAGAGATTTCATAGAAAAATGGGGATGCTGACACACTGATTATGCAGCTGTCGCTCTAATTAAGAAAAAAACTAAACGTTTAAACTACAGCTTGCTTGCAATGTATTGCTTCCAGCAAAATCTGCATATTATTGAGCTTGGTAAAATATAATTTTCCTTTTTCATATTCAAAGACAAATGAAAGATAAAAGCTAAAATAATGCACACAAATTATAATTAAAATAAAACAATATTAGACTATGTTCAGTCTTAGGTATGTTTATATACCTCAATATGATAGTAATCATTTTTAAATACTTGCAACCATGTAGCCCTTATCTTTTATTTTTTGCCAAAGGAAATGGCAGAATCACATGACGACGGATCTGTTTCTTTATAATATGGAGTAGTGATTTACTGGCATGTGTTGTAGATTTGGATCTGTTTGTTGATGTCATTGAGGATGGCTTTCATTCTGTCCTCCAGTCCATCCAGCTGACGAGCTTTCCCTTCCAGCTTCCTCTGATTCTCCTCATAATTCTTCTCCAGTTCTGTGAAAACAGTGAATTTCATGAATCGTTACATAACCTGGCATTAGCAGCATACGGTGCTTGTATAACACTTTCTTGAGTCAATCTACTTGATCTCGATGTTGATACGGCTGATCACCACATTCTTCACAACACACCTAGGGAACACCTGGCAGAGTTGTTTGTCTGAATAGACAATGATTTGTCGAAACACTAAAATCAATTAAGGGATCAAGGATCCATTTTATGCCCACAACTTTTTAATCTATAGTGTCATTAGAGGGTATGCCATCTCTTTTTATAACTATGCTGATGACACAACCTTATGTGGCTGACCCTCCTGGTGACACAGGGCCTCGTTTAGTTGTCTGTCAGATACATTTTAACATTTTACAACTCAACTAGGATGAAACTGAAATGCAAGTTATAATGTAGCATGTTCTTAGGCTCAGAGAAAAAAATGCTGTTGTCTAGCAAGAAATATCGAGGTCTACTTTGAGTCAGAATTATACTTAAAAAAAAATGTTGCTATTTTGGGAAACAGGCTGCTTTCTTGAGTGAGAGAGTTAGATGAAAATATCTATACCACTCTCATATTTAAACAGTAAATATGAACCAAATGCCGGCAGCTGGTTATCCTATCTTAGTATGAAGACTAGAAACAGTAGGAACCAGCACACACTCCAGGAAGTTACTATGCCCAAAGAAATAGACAATATAAAACCACAACTTGACATTTTAATCCTCTGGCATTTTTACCCTTTCTGCAGGTTAAACAAACAACATATAATGTGTTAATTAGATAGATTGTTGAGGCAGATTTAATTACCTGTGTTTTTTGTAGTTTTTTAATTGCCTTTTTTATATCATATCTTTAAGTTTAGAGATATGACATAAATAAAAAAGATATATCTTTAAGTTTACCCCTCCTTGAACCACCACCTTATTGTGGTGGAGGGGTTTGAGTACCCGAGTGATACTAGGAGCTATGTTGTCGGGGGCTATATGTCCCTGGTAGGGTCTCCCAAGGCAAACAGGTCCTGGGTGACGGGTCAGACTAAGAGTGGTTCAAAAGCCCTTTATGAATAGATTACGATCAAGGACCGTGACGTCGCCTGGCATGGCGCAGCCGGGGCCCCACCCTGGAGCAAGGCCCGGGGTTGGGGCTCGAATGCGAGCGCCTGGTGGCTGGGGCTCCCCCCACGGGGGCCGGCCGGGCTTAGCC